AAGGAAGAAGTTCAAGCTGCTTTGAAGAAAATAGCAAAAAATAAAGCCCCAGGAATAGATGGTATACCAATTGACATATTTCAGCTAACAGATGCTGCCCTGGATGTGCTCACCAAGTTGTGCCAAGAAATCTGGAGAACAACCACTTGGCCAACTGACTGGAACAGATCTATATTTGTTCCCTTTTCAAAGAAGGGTGACCCAACTGAGTGCAGAAACTACAGAACTATATCATTGATTTCACACGCAAGCGAGATTCTACTGAAGATTATCCAAAAAGGACTGGAACAGCACATCAGCAGAGAACTGCCGAGTCCTGGCTGGGTTTAGAAGGGGTCACGGTACCAGGCTACTCCTTGCAGGCAAGGATTCCGGGGCTTTGCCTGATATACTTTGGACATGTTGTAAGGAGAGACAGGTCCTTGGAGAGGGACATCATGCTTGGGAGGGTGGAGGGACAGCACAGGAGGGGAAGACCCTCTATGAGGTGGATTGATTCAGTGACTGGGGTAATCGGGATGGGTGTGTCAGAGGCAATGCGATTGGCACAGGATAGAGCAGGGTTTAGGGCTGTTGTACATAGGGTCGCTATGAGTTGCAAACTACTCGACGGCACATAAAAACAACAGTTAGGTTTTTGTGGTTGTCATGACTTGTTAAAAAAAATGTGTAATAATTTACTCCTCTCCAAACAATGTACTATCAATGACAAAACGTAGACAATGGAGGGACCTCTGGTGACATAATCCATATGAAGTTGCATTGTTAATCCAACAGCAGCGACTCTCTGGGGGTCCGAATCCACCATCAACTCCAAGGAAGAAAGACGGCGAATCTCCTTCCCTGTGATTTATAGCCTCCAAACCCCCAGTAGAGTAAGCTCTGGGTAAGTTTCAACTCACTGGCATTAGGCAAGTAAGTATTTGATGGAACTGATGAGTCTATTCCTCAAATATGCACTCTTCCTTTGGCTTTACTCATTTTTTCTAATATTTTCTTAAATTCTCTCCATTTCCTTTGTTTTTAATAGCATAAAATTATAGAATTTCCAAGTTGCAGAGGTCAGGGGTAAAGGAAATATGTACTGAGGCCTTTGAGGAAGGTGCATTTTATTTGTATAAGTATCATTTGAAAGCATACACACTTTCTGTGAGATTGTGTTTAGAACACTATACTATTGACTAAAGTACTATAAAAGAGATGTAGGATGGGAAAATAGTTGTAAATTTGGACTGCAGTGCTATTATTTCCATCCTGAATATAAAGTACTGAATATTAATGAGGCACAAAATGAAGGTTTTCACAATGATAATGCATCAGATTCTATTCGGGAGACAACATGAAAAGAAATGGGAGAGCTATGTTATTGCATTTTTATACTAGCACTCTTTCTGCAAAGCAATTAAATTGCCTTGACACCTCAGTTTTTAGAAAGCAAAAGGTTAGAAAATACAATAAAACTGAACATTATTTCCAAAAAGAACTGAAAGTTATTGGGCCGTGAGATATTTGAAATCATATCAAAAAGCAGAATTTATAGTGCTATGAGTTATGGAAAAGGAAATTGAATTGTGTGCTTTATTTTTAAAACACAGCCAATAAAAGGTGTTTCCATAGTAACAAGGTCAATACCAGTAGCCATTACAGACCTTCCTCTTTTCTGATAGTGGGTTTAAAGATTTTTTTTTCAGATACCACTTTAAAAGCTCTATGAAAAAGTACAGCTTTTCTGATCATTCATCTGAGCTCAAATGAGGAAAATACACGTGGAGTATTGAATTTCTCATGTTTATGGATTATGAGCATTCACTGCTGTCACGTTTTCCGGAGGAAGCCTGCCAGCCTAGCTACTATGCCAACGCACGATCACAAGATCTGATTAGTGTGATTGTGAATCTGAACAAACAGAAGTTGTTTGGAGTAGTCTTCAAACACAAGTAAAAGACAGCATAGTATCTAAAATAAAAAGTCCTTCTTTTTAACATCTACATAGTGAAAAGGTCATATAAATAATCCTTGTTATTAGAAAAATTTCAAAGACTCGTGAAAATATATCGCTACTTGAGGAAGGTCAAATAGATACAGGTCACATTCTATTTGCAGCAGAAATAAAGGGCTCTTTGCTAGAAAATCAATTTATTTGACCCTACCAGGAAGTTACTTCCCTTCTTCTTCCTTTGTATGAGTTTAAAGTCTTATCTTTTACATTATAATGCCCTCCATAGCACAGATATTTTACTTCTTGTATCCTGATGATATCTCATGTTAACATTGCGTACATAATATTGAAAAATAAATTACTGATATTGAATAAAATAGATATTGAAAAACTACTGAGTCACAGAATGAATTATGGGGGCGGGGGCGGCAATCACATAGCTATAACCAAAATGTACCTATCCTTGTCTAATATTAAAAACATTTCCTCATAATATTATAAACAATGTGAAACTTAAAAACAATCCCTATTATTTAAATTTCTTTTAACCAAGACGTCTATCTTTTGCACAGATCTTTTCTCAATGCCATTAATGCCCGCAGATTTTAATGTAAACTCATTGCTGAAGCAAAATGTTTCTTTCAGCGCTTTTAATTATTGTACTAGGAGCCCTGATGGCACAATAAGTTAGACTGCTTACCAAAAGGTCCACAGTTCAAATCCACCAGTTACTTCCCAGGAGAAAGACGATGAAGTTGTGCTTAGGTGCTATTGTGAGTTATCTCCAACTCATATAAACCCTATGTACAATAGATCAAATCCTGCCTAATCCTTCGACATTCTCATTGTCTCTGCAGTTCTTAAACTCACTGTTGTAGTTACTGTCATTGAGGGTCTTCCTCCCTTTCTCTAACCCTCCACCTTTCCAAGCATCATGCCCTTTCCAGAGACTGGTCACTTCTGACAGCACGCGCAAAGTTTGTGAGATTAAGTCTCACCACTCTGGCATCTATCTAAGGAGTGCTCTGACTACATTTCTTCCCCAAAGTAAACATACTTTTGTTGTTGCTGCTGTTGCGTACCAGAGAGTCGGAACTGACCAATAGCTGACCCTCCAACGAATTTTCAGAAATTTAGCAGGGGAGGAAATTGCCCATCCTTCTTCTGCGGAGTGGCTGGTGACCTCTAACGGCTTGCCATTGGCATTACAGCCCAGCTTTTGGCCACCCGGCCACCAGAGCTTCCTAAAAATGCTTTTCATTTGCATTTTTAAAAATTAAGTTTCGTCTACATACTTGATTGCGACCATTTGCAGTTTTGGTTAAGTCAATGCCTACTTAACTCCAAGCCTTCCTCGCCTGCACAGAACCATGAATACGAACAACAGACAATAAAGTGTTTCCTGAGTGAAAGAACACATGTTCATGCCGAAGTGAACCAGGTGTAACACAAAACTTTCTGAACCAGGATTAAGTAACTTTAACAATTAACATAAACTTGAACAATTAATATAAACAAAGCTCTAGTGACCTACTGGCAAGAAGCTACGCTGCAATCTCAAAGGTGTGTAGTTCGAATCCACCAGCTCCTCCTCTGGCAATCTCCTCTCTGCTCTTAACTGCCTCTTAAAACCCGCCGGAGGATCAACTATGGGTCAGTTCCCACTATGGCACACAACAATACAAACATTACAGATATTTAACTTTTCCCCTTAAAAATTACTTTGAGACTTTTTTCTTCTTATTTTCCTGGTAAACATAAAACCTCACAGAAGCATAAATAGCAAAAGAGAAAGAATTCTGTATAATAAAGGAAAAAGACAATACTTCCAGAATTTCACTATCAATTACAGATCTGTACTGGGTTTTTCCTTCTATGTAGATATCACTCATTGAAGTCTAAGGTTTGTCCCCTTTCTCTCTGTGCTAGACATTTTGTCTTAAATTAATAGTTCTTTGTTTAGAATAGAGGAAGTATTTAAGGTGTCATGAAAATCCCATCATATTTATTTATTAAATAAGTATCTATCATGCATGCATTGGATGAAACCAGTTCTGGTTTAAAATCAATTTAAGATTGTGTCTTTGTAGCATTTTCTCATGACTATCCAGGCTTTATGTGTTTAATGTACTCTATAATCAAAGCATAAACCCTGGATAGGTTTGATCAGCAGCGCCCACACCTTTTCATTTTATGGATTAGTGATATTTTAAAATTTGAGATACCAAGGTCAAGTCCTTAGCAACAATAGCTTAAAAATAAGTACCACTGTCATTTATCACTATCAGTTTGCAGTCCTTATTTTTAAGCTATTGTTGCTAGCAACTTGACCTTTGTATCCCAAATTATATAATATCACTAATCCATAAAACGAAGAGATTTTAACACAGGATAATTAAAGAATAGGGAGCTCTGGTGACCTAGTGGTAAGAATCTTCACTGCAATCCTGAAGGCACATGGTTCAAATCCACCAGCGACTCCACAGGAGGATGGGCAATCTCCTCCCATATGATTAACTGCCTCTGAAAACCCATTGGAGGGTCAGCTGTGGGTTGGTTCCAACTCGATGATACTCAACAATAACACTTAAAGAATAATCTTTTAGAAGGATATTCAGATATATTAAAATATTTTTAAAGATAATACATTCAGTTTTAAGGTGGAAAATACTGAGAATGTTCTTCATTCTTATTTCAGTCTAAATAGGTATAATTTTATAATGAACAAGCCAAACTCTGGGGTTTATATAGTAATTCTATGAACCACTTTTCCTCCTGAATATTCTATATTTACTTCTATTTGTCAATATTAAAATCTCTGTTCTTGTTCTAGTTCTCAGGATTGGCTATCAAAATAATAAGAGAACTTAGTTTTAATCCCTCCAGGTTTATAGGGTCCAATTAAAAAATTCAAGTCTTCTTAGTTATATCTTGTTAGTTAGTATTTTAAAAAATGAAAAATCTGACAGAATCACTATATTTTTGTATTTATAGTATTTTCTACAAACAGCTGTCTGAAAGCTCTATGTTGAAGACTAACAAATGCAACAATAAGACTTACATGTATGGACCCAATGAAATGACCCTTGCCATTACAATTCCAACAATTAGAGTTGTTAAAACTGTAGAAATAAGGGATATCTGCAAAAGAAAATGTAAAGACATTGTCAATTAAAAATAGAGAAGTCCTATTTAAAATAAGTTCTATAATTACTTTATATATATCTATTAAAAGATTTTACTACTTAATTCCTTAGTAATTTATTTTTATGATTTGACTTGATAATTTAAGGCACCTAATTTCTTATCAAACCTTAGTTATCCATTTTCTACACAAATAGGATCTGAGAGGATCATAATCTGCAACGCAGATTTCAGTTTTTAGTGAATATTTTCCTAGACTATATGGTTGATGACTGTAGTTTATGAAAGTGATTTTAGTTTATGAAAATAAAAGGGAAATTGTATTTCCTCATTGTTTCAGAACCTGAGCATTGACTTATTCTTTTCAAATAATTTTTTTCTTTATCTTATCCTTTTTCTATCAACTATCCATACTCCAGACCATACACACTCACATTCTCTCCCTCACACACACACACAGAGTTTTCTTTTTATTCCTTTACTTATTATGTTGATGCATCTGCTCTTTTCTCTGTTCTCTAGCCTTTTTCCTTCCTAGATTTGCCCTTTGGTTTGTGTTTTTAAGCTTGCTTTGCTTCTGTCTTTATTCTGTCATTTCAACTGGTTAAAATAAAACTGGTATATATGTGTATGTGACCTTAGTACTGATTGGATGTTTGTGTTTATGTTCTTAATTTTCTTGTGTGATAACCACACCTTAGAATTTTTTATTATCTATGTTAAGAAAAACAATTTATTCAAATTGTTTTCATGATTCTTATTTACATGATTCTTATTAATGTTATGTTTTGAGTTGTGGATCTTTATTTCCCTCGCCCCAGATCACACAACTAGAAACTGCCAGAAGAGGGAATAAAGGAAAGTGACCTAATTCTAGATCTTGGCTCCTAACTACTCTATTTTTTCACATTGAGGGGCAAAACACATGTAATAAATATTTATAAAAATTGCTTAGATATTAAGAAACTCAAACTCATTGCCAGAGTTGGAACCATCCCACAGCTGACCCTCCAGCAAGTGTTAAGAGGCTGTAAATAGCACAAGAGGAGGGTTCTCATCTTTCTCTCCTGGAGTAGCTGGTGAACTCCAAATGTCTGCCTTTTGGTTGGCAGCACAATTCCTTACCACTAAGCCACCAGGGGCTAGATGTTGTCATTGTTGTTGTTATGTGCCATTGAGTTACCTGCGATTCACAGAAACACTATGTACAACAGTTCTAAACCCTGCTTTATCCTATGCCAATCTCATTGTCTTTGACACAACTACCCCCATCACCAGTTACTGAATCAATCCATCTCATCAAGGGTTTTCCTCTTCTGCACTGTCCCTCCACCCTCCCAAGCATGATGTCCTTCTCCAAGGACTGGTCCCTCCTTACAACATGTCCAAAGTATGTCAGATGAAGCGTCAAAATCCTCACTTCCAAGGAGCAGCCTGATTTCACCCTCTCCAGGATGAATCTGTTCATTCTCTTAGCAATCCATTCAATGCTCTTCTCCAACACCACAGCTCAAAGGCATCAATTTTCTTTCTATCATCCCTAGTCATTGCCCAGATCTCTGAAGCATAGCAAGCAGTTTCAAAGACCATGACCTGTATCAGGCACACCTTAGTCTCCAGACTGACATCATTGCTCTTCCTTTCTTTGGAAAGGTCTCTGACAGCAAACTTTCCCAATGCAATTCATCTTTTAATTTCCTGGCTGCTGGTGTCAAGAGTATTGATTATAGAGCCAAGTAAATGAAAGCTGTTTGCAATCTCAGTCAAATTTGGGGTAAAAATAAGAATATCCACATCCCTTGATACTAAGGGAAGCAAATAAAACCAGATAAGCCTCAATCTATGAAAATTAATTTATGTGGTGAGTTGGGTAATTATGTGTTGACTTCTTTAGAAAGAGATCAACAACAAGAAATAAATATTGAACAATTTCTCAGCAATCCTTTATATTTGCTAAATGAAAACGAGACATGAAAGACATCATAATTTACAAAATAAAATATTTAAAATCTGTGAAGTTATTCACATTTGTCTGTAGTATAATATTTTCCCCCAATAAATAAGATTTGCTTTAAGTATAACTTTTTTTTTAGAATTGAAAATATGCTATCTGACATTAGTGAGTCTACCTTGAAAAAAGGAAGAGCATGGTTAGTTGACATTCATCAATGAGTTAATAATTAGTTGCAAAAACCAACCTATTGAGTAGACTTGGTCTCCTCTAACATAATCACAAATCATCTAGAACTAAAGATGAATATTCTCATTAAGACTTAGTTATATAGATAGTATGCAGTTTAACAAAAGCAATGCAGGGAACAAGGTGTTTTGCTGTGGCTATTTCAAGATGTAAAATTCACCTTTCCAAGCCTTGCAATGTCTCGGTACAGCGATAAAGGCAGGTTAAAGGCAACTGTGGAAATCACGATAATGACGTGACGGTCAATAAACAAGTTTTCAGGATCAACTAAAACACAATAAATATTATTAAATGTTTATAAGTAAAAGTAATCTTCCAATAAAACAACAAAATAAACAGTTAATCATAGAAATGATATAAATAACATTAAATGCCACCTAAAAGAAAAAAATATTCATGGGTTCTTTTAAAAGCATTTATTTGCTGATGATTACTAATATTTACCATTGAAGGGAACCAAAAATCACTATATTTTATTTAATAATTAAAATGTTATTCTCTGTGGTTAAAAGTTCAATTTTACAATACAATTAGGAATATATTTAAGATGCTTTTAAAATGAACTGTTTTATATTACATGTAACTATTTAATATGTGAGTGAAGGCATATTTCACTTATTTCCTTTAAAAAGTTTCATGGATGAGGTTGATTTAGGATAAAATGAGATTCTTAAAAAATAATAGCTCAGGATTACTACCTAAATATACATGTTTCTTCATTTCCCCCTTTAGAAAGAGTTAAGAAGTTATTCCTTTTCACTAGCTCTTTGGACTATCAATGTGACAAAGAACAGGCACTAACAATCTAAAGACATATACTTAAAAAAATATCATTCAACTTTAAAAGCTTCCAGTGTATCTTCTTTTGTTCTGATATAAATGAAGAAAATAAGTTTGAGGGCATTTGCACAAAACAGATACATAGCTGATATCCATGTGTTAGGATTAGTGTTGAAAATTTTAGTTTGTGTTAGTAATAACTTATTCAAAAGTTAAAACCTTTTAAAATCTGTTGAGATTTTTTAAAGAAATAA